ATCCCCCCCTCCTCCCCACTCTAGTCACCAATGCCCTTACCCTCTTCCCTCCCAGCATCACCCTGTCTCCCTCCCACTGACACTTCCCCTCCTGCCTTTTTCCTCATTGTCTGCACTTGGTCCCCTGCCATATGACTCTCCTCCACCCCTGTCCCTTTGGTGCCTTCCCCTTCCCCTCCGCCTCTGCACAAGCACCTTCCTCTCCCAGCCCTTCCCCTTTCCCTCTGCACAAGCCCCTTCCCTCCCTCTCCTGTCCCTTCTGCCTTCCACTGTGCGGGGCCGGAGTCTGTGCTCTGTCCCCAGACTCCGAACTCGCAACTCAGCCATGTGGCGCAACACAGCGCCCAGCAGGTTTAAAATCCCGGGCCGTGATGTTACGTCACATCCGGGCATCTCCCCACCCACTGGTTTGAGCGTGCTGTGCAGGGCAGCATCAGCCAGCAAGGGGTCCTGTCCCTTCTGCCTTCCACTGTGCGGGGCCGGAGTCTGTGCTCTGTCCCCAGACTCCGAACTCGCAACTCAGCCATGTGGCGCAACACAGCGCCCAGCAGGTTTAAAATCCCGGGCCGTGATGTTACGTCACATCCGGGCATCTCCCCACCCACTGGTTTGAGCGTGCTGTGCAGGGCAGCATCAGCCAGCAAGGGGGAGCTCAGTGAAGGTTGCACATGGCAGGGACAGGACCGGGGCAGGGAAGAGACACTCTGGGGGCGGGGTGGGAGGACGCATGGGGGGAGTCGGGACCTGCTCCAGCTCCAAATATTGCTGGAGCATGAGCACCACGAGCCCACACAACTCGCCGCCCATGCCTCTGCTGGCTAGCCGGCTCTCTCTCTCTCTTTTTTCGGAGGGGGCGGGGGAGTGCCGGCTCCTCATGGAACCCCTAGTTTTGCTCCGCGGAACCCCAGGGTTCCCCGGAGCACCAATTGGGAAACACCAGCGGGGGTACTAAGGCCAGCTTCCTGCCTCTCCTGGTACTGCAGACTATGCTGTGCTCTAGAAGTAGTCAGCAGCAGGTCCAGCTCCTAGGTGGAAGCAAGTACCCAACTCATGAGAGAAAGCAAAACACATCAAAAAATGAAGCCAATCTCATTTTAAAACAAGCTCCATCCATATTTGCTCGACAACGCTTAGCGACAAACCAGGAACCAGCAAAAGGGAGTGTGGAGTCAGAGCTTGGCATGGGGGCAGCCTGTGGAATTGGACTTGCTCCTGGCCACTTCCAGGGTGCAGTGAGATCCACTGAGCCAGGACAGGCAGAAAGCCAGCCTTATCCCACAGCCAGGAGCTGCCGGAGGTAAGTCTGTGCCCCAACAATCCCCTATCCCAGCTCTGAGGGTCCCTCCAGCCTAGAAACCCCTTCTGCACTCTCCACACCTCATCCCTGACCCTATCCTATACTCTGCAGCCCCTGTACCCCACCCCAGGCCCTAGCCCAGAGTCCCCACTACATACTGAACCCCTCTGCCCCGCACCCCCAACCCTAGTCAGAAGATATAATTATGATCGGTCACAGGTATCAATTTTCTTCAACTGGGTCACAAAAAAAAAATTCGAAAACAACTGATCTATTCTGACCTGGTTAACACAGGCCAGAGAATTTCATGCAGTGATTCCTGCATCAGACATACACCTTCTGTTGAGCTAGACCATATCTTGCCTGAACTATAGTGCCAACAGCAGCTTCAACAGAATTACATGTTCATCCTCTCTCACCTAGAGTCTTATATGGAAATGTAAGTACAATATTTATACTCCAATTGATTTATTTTATAATTGTATGGTAAAAGTGAAAAAGTAAGTAACGTATGTATTGGTTTAACTTTAAGCTGATTGTTTGAGGAGAAATATAGGATACAAAAGACAAACCAACCTCCTGAAAGGGGCACAATGGTAATGGAAAAGTTGAGAGTCACTGGATTAAATGACTTGGCCAGTTACTCAAGAAGCACTAGATAAGAATTTAACCCAGATATCTGTCAATTATATAAATCCTAATCCACTGCTTCAACCACAAGACCATCCTTCCTCCCTTTTGCTGAATCAAATGTAGTACAGGAAATCATTTAAATATCCTTATGGACAGGGCTCAAACAACTATACAATCTACTCGCCCATGTGCACCCCGTTCATTTGCGGCACATGCATGCACAATGCGGCTCTTGCACATGCGTAGTACAGGGCTGGCGAGTGGTTTTCGCTGCCGTTTGTCAAGCCCTGCTTATGGTAGATAAGAAGGTGGCACCCCAAGAGCATAAAAAGCTATCCAGTATCTGCAGATAATGCTCAAACAAATACTTCAGGAGTTGCCACTTGCAATGGTAAGGATGCTATCACAGAACAAGTACACTTTCTCATAACGTCAAACAATTTTAGAACAACACACTCTAATGCTTACCTTGCATGAAGTAAAGCACCAGAAGCCACATAAAAATACGCTGGGATGTCACCTGTATCCACCAATGGCTGAATAATGGAAAAAACACGACCCGCACAATTCCCTTCCTCGTGAGTGATGTCCATGGGATTTCAGGTTTGGCTTTGGCAAACGTGGAGCCTTGAAAATGCACAAAAATATATAGGCAGTTAAATGCAAGTTTTACTTAATGCTTTACTTGTAACCAAGGCTAAAATTGTGTCTCAGAATCCATGACCTCCAGAGACCTTAATGATATTTTTATTTCAGATCTGAAGCAGTGGGCTCCCCTGTACTACTGCAGAAGATTTAGTTGCAACTGTAAGTTGTGGGGTCCCCACACCATCCAAAGTTACTGCCAGCAATAGGGGGACCCTGCACTCCCAACCATCATCCACAGGGGAAACTCTGGGGCTGCAGCAGCAGCTGGTGCTGAATCCGCCTTGTAGTAAGATGAGGGCCTGAAACATACGCCCTTGCAAGCCTGGTGTGAGGACTGAATCCTAGGCACAATGGCCAAGACTTTGCTAATATAAAGCAAAACTGAGCTTTGAGCAAGAGACAGGCCTCTGCTCCCAGTACTTGGCATGAAAAGGGTGGATCATGTAAAACACTAATTGGGTGTAGGCACAGGTTGAAATCACATTCCAAAAGGATGGTAACAGCTGGTTAAGCACCTTGGTACCCGCACATTCCTCACAAAAGACAGGACCATACCAACACAGCTTCAGGGCAGGGTCTAATACAGTGGTCCCCAACATTTTGGGGTTGCTGGGGGCGGGGCCGCTCACATGCCACATGCCTGGGGGCGGGGCCAAGCATGCACTGCACGCCTGAGGCCGGCACCAACATGTGCCGCGACCCTGGGCAGGGGCCGCCCAGGCGCCCGGGCCTGGCACCTGCTGCACGCCTGGGGGCGGGGTCAGCCCAGAATGCTCCGCGGGCGCACATAAATAGCCCAGTGGGCACCATGGCCAGTAGGACAGCATGATGGACAGAGATGTTTTGATTGAAGCATCAGGAGCAAGGCAATGGGTGATATGTAGGTCACGTTGGAGGGTGGCAACCTGATGTATCAGAAATTGTGTATAATTTGTCTGTATCTGTGTATAAAGCTTTGTCTTGGAGGGGGCTCTCTCTGTCTAACCTGGGGGGCAGTGGGACCCTCCCACTTACTGAGCTAGTCCATTGTCAGGAGATGCATATGCATAGTGGTTCGACACAGTGAATCACAGTAAGTCAACACAACACCCAGGAGGAGCACACATATGTTATCATTGTACAGAGCAAGTAACTGAACAGTTATCCTTGTACAGAGCAAGAGACAGGTCAGTGACTTCTGACAACTACACTCCTCCCTCTCCATTATATACATTTTTAATATAAATTAGGGACAGGTTCCATGAATTTGTGGTTATTGCCTGTGACTTTAAATAGACACTAAATAGAACTCATCTTACTTGCAATTTCTTCCTTAGCTAATGCAAAATTCCTCTAAAATGCAGTATAATTTGAAATTGGAAAACATCCACATTTCAGTCACTCACCAGAAGTGTCAAGTTCATGAGTTTGGGTCAAAGGAACCCTTTCCCCTCCTCTTAGTCATTTTCAAATACCTCTATCTTAAGTGGAATATCAACCCAAACTACAAGCCTGCAATCACCCTTTACTCCTCCCTTCAAAGGCATTCTCTACAACTTCAGCCCTTAGCTGACCATGCAGTGGTGCCAGGAAGCCTGCAGTCCCTCCGCCAGATAACACTCTGGGCTGTGTCTCCTCCAATCTAAATTGTAGCACTGCTGACCTGTAATCTAAACAATCCTTTCAGAAACCAGACAGTGGTATTAAATTATGTCAGACAAAGGAAAAAGGTAAAATATTCCTCATACACTTTCTCTCTTATGCAGTACTGGGATGTCACATTTAACCTTGGGGCATTTGATAGAACTTCTATTATTCAAAGGATACCCACCTCTGATTAAGTCAACATCTATCAGGTCAGGCTGTATGTGGCCCTTTTTTTTGGGTTTGTTTTTGAAGCCCTGCACATTTTGAAAAACAAAAGATTATTAGTTTTTGTTGTGAACAGAAAAGACTGCCTGCATTTCCTTTTTTCTGTTTTCTCCAAAAACCATGATACTCTCTAGCTCTAAGATCAGGAACATCATTCAGTATTGCTAATACTCTTCTGGAGATAAATTTATTAGTCAGAGCCTATTTATTTAATTGAGCTTTTACTTAATATTTATTTTTAAAACAAGAACTGCACCCTGTAGGAACCACAGTTAGAGCCACTACTTCAATTTCCTGTGGATAATGAGGAAAGAGACCAGTGTTCCTGATTGGTGAGATGACTCCCAGCTCATCTTAAAAGAGGACACCTGGGCCCTAGAAAGGGGAGAGATGACAAATCAGTACAGGAAGCTTCATGAGACCAAGTGGAAAGACTTGAGCTCAGATGGTATCTGCAACAGGACTACTGGTAAGGAATAACCAAAGTGGGGAACCCCTAACAAGTGGAAGTCTTGGGCAAAGGGGAAGATACAAACTCAGGGTTGTAGTAGAAGGATCAATTGGTAGTAATTTACAGTGACCTCATTTTTTGTTAAAGGGTATAAAAATAAACTCTAAACTACTGCTAATACCTATCTGACCAAGTTGGAGTTGACCAATATGGATCTAAACAGCCCTGGGTTTAGCCAGTTGTATCTTGATCAAATACCTATAAAAGTTTTATTACTGTTCATAAGTAGTACATTGCTTATTTAAGGCATATTTAGAGAAACAGCATTAAAAGTAACAAAATGTCTCATCTGTGGAAGTGGGTTTTGCCTACAAAAGTTCATGATACTATCTATATATTTGTTAGTCTCTGAGGGTATGATAGGCGCTACACTAGCGCTCCGCTAGTTCGAACTTAATTGGAACTAGCTGAGCGCTTAGTTTGAACTAGGTAAACCTCATTGTATGAGGACTAAGCCTAGTTCGAACTTACTAGTTCGAATTAAGGGCTATGTAGCCCCTTAATTCGAACTAGTGCGCTCCGCTAGTTCGAACTTAATTGGAACTAGCTGAGCGCTTAGTTTGAACTAGGTAAACCTCATTGTATGAGGACTAAGCCTAGTTCGAACTTACTAGTTCGAATTAAGGGCTATGTAGCCCCTTAATTCGAACTAGTGGGAGTCTAGCCCTCCCCAG